TGGACATCCGGTACTTCCTGCTTCCTGGTAGGATGTGTTCTGAGTATTCTAACATCATTATTAAAATAAAGGGGTAATTAGTTTTTTCATATTATGTTAACACTGACTTTAATTATTAAAGTAAAATAACACCGATTTTCAGAATCAAATTAAATGCACAGAATTTCACCAAAAATTTCTTTCCAAGCTTCTTTGCTAAACTCAGTTTGATTTTCACAAAGTCCACATTTTAATTAAAAGTTTGACACTTTATGCACTGCAATATCAAAGTGGCCTTTACTTTTGTTTAATATTAAGAACACTATGGTATTTTATCAAATAAGAGGATGAAGGTTATATAACAAACTCTGTCACCTGATTAGAGGTTGGTCAATATCATTAGCATCTGCATTTTTACTGATTGCAAAAATCCAGCCACTTTTCAGTTGGCCTTCCTGAGTTTTTTCTCTTTCATTAGCCTAGTGACCCCTCGACTAATGTCTCTTGCTTTCATCAGAACATTTGTCTGGCTAAGTTTCAAGGTCTTAAAAAAATGCTCACTACAATCAAAGACTTAACTAAGGAGACAAAACGACTTGACTAGTATTATGTATGGTTAAGGGGTTCAATTCTAGTAATAATTTGGAGAACCTTATGATGTTAATAAAAGGTCAATTCTTGAAAAGCCCATCTAATCCATCAAAAATACATGCAACCAATCAAATGCCACTAGAAAACAATGAAACAGACTTTTCTTAAGCAGATGGCCTTATCAGGATAACAGTCTCATCTCTACACATAAAAATATTTTTTTTCAGGCATATTTAAATGAAATTATTATGCAATAGAGATATCAATTTCCCAGTTTTAGGAAATGAGGTTGAATAAACATACGAGACTAATTTTAAAAGCTATCTAAGAGCAGTAAAGTTGGAGCAAATCTCCAGCCAACAACCCAAACAGGAACTTTCTGGAAATGATGTTATTATTCTCTAATTGATCATGACCATCAGTATGATGACCAGCTGTCCAAACAACTGATTTCCCAATGGTCTATGCTTTTTCACTGGAACGATCTCTCACAGATTTCTTTTCTGATTTTCTTACCTGCTTGTCAAACATATTATTAATTCTGTTGGTATAAACAGAGAACTTCCAACACTCAGTCCAAACAAGTTTTGTTCTAGAATCTTCAAAACTGGCATGCCAGTGAACTGGTTTGGACTACGGATGGGAAGAAAAGGGGAAGAACATATTTTGCCTTGTTTTACAAATATTCTCTCCAGTCTGCAGCTTGAATTTTTTATGAGAATAGCTTGCTGTCATATATTTTATCATTTGTGTTTTTTGACTTAAGAATTCCTTACTACGCCAACATCATAAATAAAATTTCATGTTTTTCTTTTAAATACAATTTTTTTTTCCTAATGTATGTCTTTACTCCTTTTGGAACTTATTTTTGTATATAATGTTGGGTAGGGCTCAAATTTTATTTTTTTCCTACATTGTCCTATATAATTGTCCCTGTGTCACTTACTGAATAGTCCTTTTGCCAATGCTTTATGAAGGCATCTCTGCTATATGCCATGATGTCATTATATCCTTGTTTCTGGGCTTTGCTTCCTGTTTTGTTGATACATTGTTCTCTCTATAAGCTAACAGCACAGATGATAATTTTTCCAAAATATTACTTGGAGGTTTTCAAAAGTAATTTAGTCCCATTTCCCCAGATTAAAATTCAGTTGACACTAGAATAAATATTCACTAAATTTTCTTCAGTGGCAGCATATAGCAGAGGGACAGGCATGGACTTCAGCCTCCTGTTGCTGGCTGATCCCCCTGGCCAGGTGCCATCAACATGTGGTTAACTATTCTCTGTTCCTATGTCCTTATCTGTAAAATGGGGAGAAAGAAAAATAGTTCCCTGCTTGCTTATGATCTATTTATCTCCTTTTCCTTGCTCATAAGCTATAATAACTGTCCTCATTTGTTTACTTTATCCCCCCATATAAACAAGAATATAGAAGAAGTCTATCCATTTACTATCATGCTCCCAATATCTGTGATAGCACCTGATATATAAGATATATAGCTCATAAGTATACCTCAAATGTTGAATGAATGAATGAATGAATGATGAGATAAAAAGGAAGAAGTTTAAAGCAAACAAACAGAAGATCTTTGCAAATTGGCTATGAATATACATGTTGCAATTCATTTTAATGTTGCAAAACATTTAATAATACTATAAAACTTCATGATTATCTCTTGCTAAGATATCTGATATAGATACTGTGTCCTAAAGATAGTGAGAGGAAAACTGCAATATGAGTTGGAATGGTCATGAAAGATCATGTGGGGACTTGGCACACACCTCTGAAAAATGGACAGGATATGGACAAGCAGAGAGAAGTAGCAAAGATACTACCAATAAATAGCAGCACAAAAAAGCTCTCACCTGGTAATGAATATGGAATAGTTGAGATGAGAATTTATCTAAAGGGTCAGGGGATAATGGAAAGATATGAAGTGAAATTTTAGCACTTTACCCACTAAAACACCTCCCCTTTTTATCATTTTTTTAAAAAGGCATTAATAGTATGCATACTTAAAATACTTCTTTGTGGTAAGTAAATTGGGTGAGAGGTTGAAATCCTGGGCTCCTACAATCTCAGGATACATCCACAACATTAAGACCTTGTTGACCTGCAATCTTAGAGAAACCAAACCTTCTGTTGGACATCCGGTACTTCCTGCTTCCTGGTAGGATGTGTTCTGAGTATTCTAACATCATTATTAAAATAAAGGGGTAATTAGTTTTTTCATATTATGTTAACACTGACTTTAATTATTAAAGTAAAATAACACCGATTTTCAGAATCAAATTAAATGCACAGAATTTCACCAAAAATTTCTTTCCAAGCTTCTTTGCTAAACTCAGTTTGATTTTCACAAAGTCCACATTTTAATTAAAAGTTTGACACTTTATGCACTGCAATATCAAAGTGGCCTTTACTTTTGTTTAATATTAAGAACACTATGGTATTTTATCAAATAAGAGGATGAAGGTTATATAACAAACTCTGTCACCTGATTAGAGGTTGGTCAATATCATTAGCATCTGCATTTTTACTGATTGCAAAAATCCAGCCACTTTTCAGTTGGCCTTCCTGAGTTTTTTCTCTTTCATTAGCCTAGTGACCCCTCGACTAATGTCTCTTGCTTTCATCAGAACATTTGTCTGGCTAAGTTTCAAGGTCTTAAAAAAATGCTCACTACAATCAAAGACTTAACTAAGGAGACAAAACGACTTGACTAGTATTATGTATGGTTAAGGGGTTCAATTCTAGTAATAATTTGGAGAACCTTATGATGTTAATAAAAGGTCAATTCTTGAAAAGCCCATCTAATCCATCAAAAATACATGCAACCAATCAAATGCCACTAGAAAACAATGAAACAGACTTTTCTTAAGCAGATGGCCTTATCAGGATAACAGTCTCATCTCTACACATAAAAATATTTTTTTTCAGGCATATTTAAATGAAATTATTATGCAATAGAGATATCAATTTCCCAGTTTTAGGAAATGAGGTTGAATAAACATACGAGACTAATTTTAAAAGCTATCTAAGAGCAGTAAAGTTGGAGCAAATCTCCAGCCAACAACCCAAACAGGAACTTTCTGGAAATGATGTTATTATTCTCTAATTGATCATGACCATCAGTATGATGACCAGCTGTCCAAACAACTGATTTCCCAATGGTCTATGCTTTTTCACTGGAACGATCTCTCACAGATTTCTTTTCTGATTTTCTTACCTGCTTGTCAAACATATTATTAATTCTGTTGGTATAAACAGAGAACTTCCAACACTCAGTCCAAACAAGTTTTGTTCTAGAATCTTCAAAACTGGCATGCCAGTGAACTGGTTTGGACTACGGATGGGAAGAAAAGGGGAAGAACATATTTTGCCTAATATTGCTAGAGACTGGACTGTTTGATGTGGAGGTACAACTCTTCTCATGGCTGATTTTCCTTCCCACCTTCATGTTAATGCTACAGTGAGGACTACAACCCAGGCCTACTGACTGAATTCAATGTTCTTTCCACTATATTAGAAAGCATTTAGCATCTCTGGCTGGAGTTGTCACTTAGTTTTCCATTTGTTTATCTAGAGTGGTCAATGTCAGAAAATAGTGGAGAATATGACTCAAAGATTTCTGGGTGTCAGAAGTGTGACATTACATAGTCCACAATCAACAAGAATGATAAACCTAAAATCCATTGGTACTAAATTTTGGAAGGCACTATGTGAACTTTCTTAGCATCAGCTTTACTAACTAGCTTTCAATGCTGAAACTACAACAACTAGGTGAAATTTCAAGAAATAAACTGCACAAAAGAACTCTTTTTCTTCATTTCAATGTAAAAACAAACCTGCATGAAAAACCTACTCTATGAAAACACATAGCTCTAGAATGACCCAGAGATGAATGTTGGACAGTGTGTGCTCTAAAATTTGTTCTCTATAGCTTAAAAAGCTATAAAAGCTTTAGCTTTTTAGTTTAAGTCTTCAAAGAAGTATTCAGGGATAAAGTTGAATATGTTTTCAGTCAGGTTATGAACAAAGCAACTTCATATTTATTAAATCATGTTTATTTTTCCAACAATTCTTTAAAATCAGTATGGATTACAGACAGCAGTGTGCTCAGACAGCTTCCCTGAAAACAGCAAGGACAGCCAGAACAACAAAAGTGCCCTTATTTGTAGTATGTGTCATTTCCCACGGTGTGCAAACTCTCACCATGGCCAATTTCAAGCTAGTGTAACTGTAAGGCTACCAAATGCAGAGCTGAAGGAAATGCTCTGAATCTGCTCTGTCTTAACAGCAGCTTCCAGCACACCATGGCTTTAGAGATGGGAAGATGAAATGGCCTGCGCAAAGTCACACAACTAGTGACAGGCCAGGACTCAACCCCAAGTTTTCTTTTTTATTCTTATTTATTTATTTATTTATTTTAATACGGAACGCTTCATGACTTTGCATGTCATCCTTGCACAGGGGCCATGCTAATCTTCTCTATATCGTTGTTCCAATTTTAGTGTATGTGCTGCCGAAGTGAGCAGAACCCCAAGTTTTCTTGACTCAAATTCAGGAATTGTTCCATTGGAGCAAAATGAGGCCTCCAGTGTCTTAATTCTCCCTCGTCATACAGTGCATTAAGATTTTAATCTGAAGGTACATCTTTTCCTAAACTATCAGAGAATGGTGCCCTACCTACCTAAGTTGACTTAGTCTCCACATCAGCTGTCTACTTTCTTCCTATACCAAGATTCTAATTTTCTTTAAAAATTTAAACTTTAGTATGGTCTTAAAGATAATTTTAGAACAACTTGGAAAATGAAAAATGACCAAGATATACTTTGTGACATATGCCTCACTTATTATTAACAATTTCTTATGATCCAATTCTAAGCCCTGCTAGCGCTTTCTCGGTGTTCAGGATCGCGGTTGTCACGTTGCCCTGGTCTGCTTGTCTCGTACTGATGGGCTGCTCCCTCTCGGTCTCAGGGGGTTTTGTTTCTTCTTAGCAAGAATTATCTGAACTAATTTTAGATTGATCATAGTTAGCCTTTGGAAAACCTAATGGTTCTTCAAGATCTTGCTTTCTTCCAAAGTTAAACAAAGAGAAGGAAATGGAAAAAGGAAAAAGAAAGGAAATCAGACAAGGTCCTAAAAAAGCAACAAAATTTTCATGACATATTTTTCCCTCATAACTGAAGATGTCCATTTTGTGAGAGGTGTGCAAGCTATTTGAGAAATATCTTGTATTATGAAAAAATACACTAATGAACAAGAACATGGCTTATTAAATGATGAAATATAAAGGTGCATGAATTAAATGATTGTGGCACTGGCCTATCCATAAACAGATCTTTAAAAAAAAAAAAATAGATCAGGTTTCCCAAGATATGTGCAACTACACTACTTCTCAAAAAGGTTTCCATGGGCAAGTAAAGTAGGGAAGGAACATGGGACAAGCATCATGATGAACTTTTCCTGCCTATGATGAAAAATGCCAAGATGCAAACAGCATAGTCAGAACAGGAGTAACCCCATCTTAAGACTGAGATTCCATTTTAAAAACCAGGAGTTAGGAGGTGAGATTCCTAACATATTCTTTAGTAATCAGCCAACAACCTATCTTAAAGCAGGGCAAGTGGTCCTAAACGATATGTACCCACTGCTTGAGGATAACCATTACCCTAGAGAAGAACCAGATCAATAAATTCCTTGTGTCAAGTTTATCTTACAGAATTATGTAGAGAACCAGCTGTGGATGAAAACATAGTGTCCTTCACTGGACAGAGAGACATCATGAGATCACATGTCAAGACTACAGACCCCCCTGCCCCGCTGCCATTTGCTCCATTCTTGAAAGCCTTAAAAGACACAATCCCCAGCCTTTCAGTATGCCTCCTCTCTGAGGTTGCCTACGCTCCCCTTTAAGGGCATACTTCTAAATAAAATCTTATCGTTGCTCAACTTATTGTATCTTCTCTCCGGTGGTAAGCATTTTTGGTGTCTCTTTGCTATTTCATTCTATTAAGTCTTCATTCTGTCTCTGTTTTATTCCTGATAAGCAGGGAGGGGCTGCACAGGGCTCTGATTTGGGGCTGCAAGTTCCCATCATCTGAGTGACCTGGACAGAACTACCACTGTGCTATCTGCTCTTAGTAGCCTGCCTAAAAATCTCCTTTCTTTGGGAAGTTCTCAGGACATAATCTCACTCCATCCTGTGCTCTGCAGCTCCCCCACATCCTGGGGTAGTAGGAGCTAGTCCCCACACCTAGTAGATTCAAGTGGACACAGGACGCCAGGTGAGCCTAGCTTTCGGAGTTGGCAAGGGAATCTGCTCTAGGCTGAGAAGGAGTTCAGTGAACTTTTCCTCCTTCCCTTTGTACTTTCCTGCTCTCAGCTGCCTACAAGGCAGCTGCCACTTATTACTCTTGCTTTAATGAATTCCTTCCTCACCTACTCTCCCACCTGCTCAAGAATTCTTTCTTGCTCAGAGTCAAGAAACGTCCCCTGTCCAGGTTGAGGTTTCACTTGGTGTGCAGGGAGAGACCTCCCCAGACACAGCTGCCCCGCAACACAAGTACTCGTCAAAAATACCACCTTCCTTATTAACATCTTAGAGATTTAAAATCTGTTTTAGCCTACTAAAGAATCTGAGGAATACTGTCCATAGAAACCTGTTTAAAATGATATAACCCTCAATTTACCAAACTTACATGACCATTCTGCTAAAGAAAATTCCTAAAATTATCTTCTAAAGAACACTATTTAGAATATGCTGGTATAGAGAATCTACTAACTGATCCAAGAATGTATGGGACCACAGAATGTGCAAAAAGTGTAAGAGAAAAGTTAGTCATTAAATGGTGATGGGAAGAAAAATGATACTAGAAAAACTAGTATTTTCTTCTTAATTCCAATTCCCTACCATACCTCATCTATCACAATAAGTTTCAGGCAAATAAAAATTCAAACTATAGAAACTAAGTCTTTAAAAGAAATAAAACAAAGTATTAGTTGATAAGTTTAAAATACTGGGGAGGGAAAAGCTTTGAAGACCTAACACTAAAGAAAGAAACAAAAGGAAACTTTAAAAATATCATTACCTAAAAATTAAAACTTCTATATGTCACAAAAGCAACATTAATAATGGTAAAATTAAAATTAAAAATGATAAAAACTATTTGCAATGTATATAAGGACTTTCACATATCAAGAGAAAATGAAGACAGAAAACAGACAATATAAGGCAACAAGGAATTCATTAAAAAAGAAATGGTAATTGCATTTAAATTCTAAAACAATGCTCAATTTAACTACTAATGAAATAAACATGAAGATTTAAACAATACTAAAATACCATTTTTCACCTTTCAGCTTAGCAAAAATTAAGGGAAAAATTACCACCACCCAGTACTGATGAGAGAATAAAGGAATGGAGAAGTCTCATCTACTGTTGATAAGCACTGATACAAGTTTCTGAGGGACAATTCGGCAGTATGTATCAAAATTTAAAATATCATTTACTTTTTGGCCCAATTCTACATCTAGAAGTATTATTTTCAAGAAAATATGCAAAGATGTGTACAGTTGACCTGGGGCACAATGATTAAACAATTGGATTTTAGAATGTGAAGACATGACATTTTTCTGTTTAGATGTGTTTGATTGTTACAAATATTCATTAAATACCTATGAGTACGGATATAACCAAGATAGACAAGGTGCTTGACTCATGGAACATCTATTGTAGTGAACAAAGAATAGACAAGCAAATATTTTTAAGAAAAATTATCAGGGGATGTAATGAAGTACAAGTAACAGAATGACTACTTTTACACTGGATGGTCAGGAACAGTGTCCCAGAGCAAGTGTCCTTTGACTAAGATCTGAATGGTAAGGAAATTCAGACAGGATAAAATAAAAACTTCTTCATTACCTTCTTAAGTGAAATGGCAATCCACTGCAGAGATGTTTTATAATATATGTCCTGTTCTAGTACCATCACCATAACTGCTGCATAGAGAACAGGCTGTATGGGGGCAACCGCAGAATCAGAGATGCTTGTGTGAAGACACCTGCTCTAGAGCAGAGGAAATACAATGAAATCTTGGACTAGAGTGGCAATACTCAATATGGAGAAAAGGGGATTTGAAATATATAGAAATATTATCGATAGCACTTGTTGATTAAATATGAGGATGAGAAAAAGGTGAGATTTTCTTTTTAAAGACCAATAATTTTGACTTGAGTAACTGGGTAGAAGATTGTGATAGTAACTTGGATGAGAAAGACTGATAGAGACGTCTACTGTGAGATCTAGAGTAGTCTTCTAATCTTCTGCTTGGTTTAGTTATGTTTGAGATTCCCACTGCATATCCAAGTAGAGATTTTCAACCAGATAAGTGCATTTATCATGTTGGAATTCCAAGAGAAGTTAGGTCTGGAAAACATATATTTTGGAATCACATAATATTTAGAAAAAGGAACCAGGATGTGATGACCAAGGAAACAGGAAAAGGGGGACAGACTGAACCTTGGTCATGCCAACATTAAATATTGACTGGGAGAAAAGGATAAGAGTCGAATGCTAGTTCTGCAGTCTTCCAGCTCTACAGTATCACTTGCATTAGCATGCTACACCTCAGTTTTATCACCTGTAAAATGGAGATAAGCATAACAAACCCCCAAGATCTGTTGGAGGATTAATCAAAATAAGTATAAGTAAACTGCACAGCATACTCTCTAATACATGGTAAGTGCTCAAAAATTGTTTGTGATTTGTTTCATTGCAAAGATGATCATTGTTTTAACAGCATTAAGAGCAGAAGAAACTTATTTATATGTAATAAAATTATTTTTAACAATCAGTGAAAATAAAGTTACATGAAAATTGGAAGAAAAAAAAAAAAGAAATACAGATGGTCCCCAGTTTACCATGGTTCAATTCATGATTTTTCAACTTTGCAATGGTGTGAAAGCAATACACATCCAGTAGAAACTACTTTGAATTTTGAATTTGGATCTTTTCTTGAGTGTAGGTAAACTTGCAATATTTCCAGAATCTCTCACCTGGCCTTAATGCATCTCCATATCAATAAGTGTTTCCAGGGGGTGGAGAGAAGTAGCCATCTCCATATCAATAGGTGATTACAGGGGGAGTGAGGACATATCTGGCCTGGAGAGGTTGGGTGGGGTCCCTTTTTGCAGCCCCTTCACAAGAGACATGGGAGAGCAGAAGTGGATGACTGCTTGTAAGCAATAAAAGGTTCTCCCGTTGACTGATTTCAGTTCAAAGGTATTTTGCCCTGGGCTGGGAAAATATTTGCCCTCAGAGTTACATTGGCTAACAATATGTGGTACCGTCCCCTCATGATTCTGGGCAGTGACAATGAGCTGCACACCTCCCGGTCAGCCACATGCTCATGAGGGTCAATAGTCAATACACTTACAACTACACTGTACTCACATGGCCATTCTGTCTTCTACTTTCAGTACCATATTCAATTAAGTTACTTGAGATATTCAACCCTTTATTATAAAATTG